TGGCCGGTAACACAAATATAACTAATATTAAATTTGGATGTCCAAACATCTGAAGTAATTGCAACTTTAGAATTAAGATTTGCTAACAAAGAAATTAAATTTTGTTTATATGAATAAAAAATTTTTAAAGCATCAGTTCTTATAGTATTCCTAGAAACTTTTTTATATTGTGGGTTTACAGAACTACGCAACCATTTTTCTATCTTTAGATCTTCAGCTAACATAAATGGTTGTTCTGCATGTACAGTATACTTGGCAAGTTCTTATATCATTTTTTCTTGTGAATATCTAAAAGTACCAAAACTAGTCCCCCTCCCAATCTGTGTTTGGGTTGTTTCTCTCCCTTCATCTTCCTCTCACTCATGTGTGAGCAGATGTCTGCTCAAGTGACCCGTACCACCCTTGCTACAATAACTAAAGTCTTTCCTACAATTTTGGCAAACGACCATTTTCCCATTTCCCTCAATATCCTCTACTTTGAAAACTTTCCAAACCGGGCTACTCAGCTTAGAAGCCCTCCTTTTTCCCCTAGTATCACTACTATCAGGGGTGAAAGTTCCACTTCCATTGACATCAGTGTTAACACTAATACTATCGTGATGCAATTGAATGTCATCCATGGTGAACATGTTGGGAAATCGGTTTTGAGAAGGGCCGGCCTTTTTTTTTTTAATTCTAAAAAGATAAAAATTAATTTAATTCGACTTACCCAGTTTGTCGGTTCAAAATCCCAACTTGATTTCAATGGTTGAAGCCTTTCAACGTCCAAGCCCCTCGAATTGAGATACTTGGGCTGGTTGAGCAAGCCTTCTTCTTGTTGAAAGTTGAAACTTCGATAAAGTTGAGACTTGAGAATTGGAGAATGCAGAATCAAACAATCAACTAATCAAAATTTTTCAAATTCCAGATAATTGAGAATGTATGAGTATGAGAGAGAGAAAATTAAGAGAATTGTTGAATTGGTGTGATGAGAATGGTGGAGGATAGGGCTATTTATAGGAATTGAACATAATTCAATTGCCCAAAATACCCAAAAAACTCTCTGTTATTTAGTTGTTGGGAGGGTATTTTGCTCATTGTAAAGTTACTTATAACTTTACCCAAAATTCTCCCCTAAACTAGTTGTTATATAATTGTTGGGGGGGCATTTATGTCATTTTTTTCAACCCCCCATAAGCAAAATACAAAAATACTCTCCTAATATGGCTGTTTATAGCTGTTGGGGGGGTATTTCTGTAAACGCCCCCCCAAAAGCTGAAACTAGCCATTGGGCCCCTTTGGGAGGGCGGCCCAACGGCTATATTCCCAGGCAGGTCGAGCGTGACCCGTTACGGGCCGTGCTTCGTGCCGTGCCGACACGTGGGCCGGTCTAAAATCGGGCCTGGAACGGCCCACTAGCCGTCGTGCCGGGCCAGTCCAAAATCGTGTCGGTCTAAAATTGTGCCGGTCAGAATAGGCCTCTACCTACCTTCAGATGCCCATGATTAGAATACAATATCCCCTTTCCTAGACATCCCTTCAAATAGGCAAGTATTCTATTCACTGCTTGCATATGAGATGATCTAGGGTTGTGCATGTATTAGCTGACCACACTCACAGCGTATGATATATCTGGTCTAGTCAGACACAAGTAGAGAAGGCGACTGACAAGTCTCTGATACTCACCTTTGTCAGGAAGGACATCTCCATCATCAACTCCCAGCTTATGATTGGGATCAATTAGAGTTTTAGCCAGTTTACAATCCAATTTTTCTACCTCTTGAAGCAAATCAAGGACATATTTCCTCTAAGAAATGTAAATGCCCCTCTTTGACCTTGCTACCTCAATCCCTAGGAAATACCGGAGATTTCTGAGACCCTTAATTTCGAATTTAGTAGCAAGGAAAGACATTRGTTCAGCAATCCCAAAGATGTCATCCCTTGTGATAACAATATCATTGACATATACTATCAACATAGTTATTTTTCCATTTGCTCTCCTAATAAACAGGGTATGGTCAACTTGTGATTGTGAGAATGCCAATTTTTAAGTTAGCTTTCCTGAATCTGTCAAACCAAGCTCGAGGGGACTGTTTAAGGCCATAAAGGGATCTTTTCAAACGACAAACCTTTCCTTCACTCCTAGGGATGTTCACTCCTAGAGGAAGTTCCATGTAAACTTCTTCTAGAATGTCTCCATTAAGGAAGGCGTTCTTAACATCCATTTGATACAAAGGCCAAGAATAGTGGGCAGCAAGAGACATGATAACTCAGATTGAATTCATCTTGGCTACTGGTGCAAACGTTTCCTGGTAATCAATGCCAAAAGACTGGTTTACCCTTTTGCCACATGTCGAGCTTTGTACCTTTCAATTGAGCCATCAACTTTATGCTTCACTGTGTAAACCCACTTGCATCCAACAAGAATTTTGCCTTCTGGAAGAGAAACAATTTCCCATGTCTGGTTTTTTTTTGAGTGTCTTCATTTCTTGGTTCATAGCAGCCTTCCAATGAGGGAACTGCACTGCCTCAGTAACATTGTGAGGGATAAAAACAGAAGCAATAGAAGACATATAGGCACAATAAGAAGGTGATAAAGTATCATAAGAGACATAGTTTGAGATAGGATGCTTAGCACATGTTTGTCTTGCTTTACGAATTGCAATAGGAAGGTTGAGGTTAGAATCTATAAGAGAAGGCTCAACAATAGATTCAACACAGGCATCGAAAACAGGAAGAGAATCCAAATTACCTGAGTTTGTGAGGTCAAATTGTAATGGACATTCAATCTTTAGAGTCATCCTCTTTCTTCGTCTGATGAACCACTAATGCCAAGACCGAGGAATAGGAGGCTGTTATGAGCACCCGCACCACACGGCAGCAGCGCGCACCGCATGGCAGCACGCACCGCGCACACAC